ACGTGCTTGTTAAGGTATTGGTGAAAGGGACCGTGATGGTATGATACAAAACATCCCTGGGGTGCTACAGTTGGATACTGGGGGTTATAGGGGTGGAGAGATTGAAACAGCAGGTGGCATTACTGGCTGAACATCATTCTTTAAAAAGTGGCGGACTAACCTCACATTTTTATTGACAACACATTCTGACTACTGAGTCTGGGCAGTTCTTTCAAATAGTGTTTCATACCCACAGTCCTGAATTTACAGTTCAGTCAGTCTAAACCTAATCCCAGCATCTGAGAATAAACAGATTTCCTGAGTGTGGATGGACTGCCAGAAACCATTCTAACTGCAGATGAACCCTGAGTTGCTGAATCGGACTTAATAATACAATTCAAAGTACAGTTTTTAGTGACTGATCTTTACTAAGTGTTCCTCTGAAGGAACCTCAAAAGCCACGAAAGGTGGTCATATAGGATATCTCCTCTACAGAGAAAGTTTCTTTCAGCACTCCCCTATTAGCACAAAACAAACGAGGAAAGGAATATATTGGCTTTGCATTGAACATATTCATGCAGCTCTTATCGATTTTTTGTTACTGCTAAAGGACACAAAGACAGACAATCATTACATCATTTATTTAACAACTGTGAAAAATGAAGCGCACTACATGATTCAAAAGCTTGTAGAACAACCTTCAGCAGCATTATCCAGAAGCTATCATTTTCTGTAGGACTTTATCAGTCTCTGTGATCACTGAGGAGGAATTTTGTTCCATTCTTCTTTACAGTGTTGCTTTGCTCATTCAGGCTTGCAAGCAGTCATTTATACGCAGCTCTCTGAAGGTCTCAACACAGCATTTCAGCCAGTTTCAGACAAAGTTTAGCTGTCTGACCGATGGCCTCTCCTTTGACTCTAGAATATTTTGGTACACAGAGGAGTTCATGTTAGACTCGGTGACTGCGCCGTTCTTGGGTCCTGTGGCTGTAAATCCAGCTTAAATCATCCCCCCTCCACCACCGTGCTGACAGCTGGTATGAGGTGTTTGTGCTGATATATCGTATTTGGTTTTCTCCAAACGTGGTGTTGTCCATGAACACCAAGCATCTCCAGTTTGGTTTGTCCAAAGGCATTGGCCTTCATACCTCAATTTGATTTTACTTTACAAATAGATTTAGAAGTCCATTTCACACTTACAACCAAATGAAGACCTAACTGTGCTGGGAAAGTAAAGAAAAGTCTTTAAAATGAACACTACTATGACTACCACTACTACTACTAATAATATTAACAGTACCATAGCACTTAATTTACAAAGCACTTTTAAAAACAACAACCGGGCTGACCGAACTGAGCAGTTTTCTAAAACATCATAGGCCACAAAATGTACAGAATTACACAAAAAAAATACAAGGCATGTAAGGAAAACAAAGTGATAAAAGTAAAGACGTAGGCTTTATCCTTTTAATTTAAATATATTTAATTAATCTCACTCGTCTTAACTTAAATGGTCTTATCTTTCTTTCTTTCTTTCTTTCTTTTAAAAAATTGCAGTAAGTTTCTCATCTCAGGCTAACAGGACACTTACTTGTTCTCTTTCTTTTAGGGGAAATGACATCGAGCTTTCCTTTTTTTTTTTATCAGGTGAAGCCTTTCTTTGTTATTTACTTAATTTTAAACGGTCATCACTCTCATAGAAACACTAAGAATGTTGTCCATTTTCTGGCTGAGTAGCTTTTCTACTCAGACTTTCTCCTTCTGTTTTGCCTTAGAGACGCACACTTCTCTCTTACATCGTCACCTCCAGATGAACCTGTTTCTTTGTATAGACAAATGGGGAGGGGTGGCTTTATGCAGATTATAGGCAGTATGTAGGATTTAAAATGACTGTCATTTATTAATATACGCACAGCAGTAAGAAAAAAACTGTGGCATAAATCTAACATGACTTTAATTGCAAACTCTTTTTTTGTAAGAAATTTCTCGTGCATTTATCAGCAAATGAGGCCCATTGTTTCAGAAGTCTTGTGGTTTGTTCAGGTTTCAGCTTTGCAAACCTATGTTACCTTCTGCAACCCTTCCTAACCTCCTTGCTCAGGGTTAACATTTATCATTGCTAATTGAGGCCTGTAAAGTTTTTGCAGGTTCTCTTAGTATTGCATGCGCTGACCTTTGGGTGAAAATTTGCTGGGATGTCCACCTTTGGGAAAATTGTCAGCTGTCTTAAATGTTTTCCAGTTGTGAATAATAATAATAGCACTGTGGACTTCAAGTTGTTTGCAAATGAGCTCATAAAGGTTCCCAGATTATTGGGAATATTTATATTTTTTGTTACTGCCTGTTAAAGCAGCTCTTGCGGAATCAAACCTGTAGACATGATTGTTCAATTTTGTGTTAGGGCAGTTTCTAAAAACTGTCAGATGAGAATCACAGTCTGAGGAACAGACATATTTAATTACTGTCACAGAATTTCCTCCCTTCTAAACATGTGAAACTTCAGAAGGGTAGAAATATTTCATGGGTAGACAGTCTGAGATACTGGCTCATTCAGTTCTCTACATCAGTGTAATGGGTCAACTTTGCTGTGAGTGCTCTTTTTTCACTGAGAGGGTGAAAAAAAATAATTAAAGCTCATTTAAAATTATGTATCTCAGTGTTAACTGAAAAGTCACATGTTTTCATATATGTCTGGACTATAAGACCTGAGCCAAGAAGCCACTGTCAGAAGCCTCATCATGGTTAGAATAGAACAGAATAATCCTTTAATTGTCCCAGAAGGGGAAATTTGGTTGTAACAGCAGCCAGAAAGAAAGGTTGAGCGCAGCGCAAGCACCATTTTTATATGCAGGGTTTAAGTTACAAAAAAGTAAAGACAGTGCAAAAACAAAGCTCCCTCATCAAACATATGGCCTTTTTTTAAAATAGCTTTCAGGCTGTCACCCACTTCAGACTGGAACATGTGGTTGCAGTGAAAAGTGCAACCACACAGATGTTATTACCTTTGTGTAGCAATCTTTGCTCAACACAAGCCTGTACTATTTTATTACTTTTCACACTGAATAGCTAGAACTAAAATCCAATGCAATTTGAGAAAATTCCAGTCGAGTGGCGTGTAAAGAAACACAAATTTACGTATTTACCGACTACTACACAAGAAAAATCTCGAGTCTTTCTTGTATATCCCAGTCTGTTCCACTGGAATACCAGATGAGATCAGTGAGTTTGCAGGAAAATAGATGAGCAGAAGCAGCAAGGCAAGATCAGACTCAAGATTATGAATTTTACAGGGTAATGTGGAGGATTAAACATGAGATGGCCTCCCACAAGACCTCAAAATATTTTTTCCTTAAATTTGACCATGAGCTAAGGTTGTTCCAATGGTTCCTAGTCCCTAGGGAAAGATCCTGTTGCGGAAACAAGACTATAGTTTCTATTTGAACAGGCAGATTGCTGGCCATCTAAACAGCCTGTCTGGATGCAACACATTAAGTTATTTATATCTGGCATCAGATATTCATCAGAGGCCTCATTTGGACATTGGAGAAGGTTTCTTCATACAACGCACATTTTAACGAGGGAGATGTTTGGCCACCTTAAAAGATTTCTGTTGAAACGGCAGAATTTAATCAGCCAGATTGGGTAGTTGATAAGACTAGCAGACCTCTGCTCAGTCGGATCGTTTTGAAAATGTGGAATTAGAATCTCTGAGAAAATCCATCTGCATGTACATGTGGAGCACATGTGACATAAGAAACATGTATATAAACTAATATCCTAGTGTCCATTAGTTTGGAAATATTGGACACATTTTATGTATATAAGGCCACGAGTCCGTCATGATTGGCTCCAGCTCCCCTGCAACCCTGATAAGGATAAAGGGAGGGGCTGCTTTGGCCAGTCGGAGGAACTCTCATTTATACAGTTTTATATATGAGGCAATACTCAGATTGCTGCCTTTCTATACGTGTTCCCTGCTTGCAATGAAACATGCTGATCGTTATTCTCTTCGTCCGCATGGTTACTTGTTGCTTTCTGTTCCATTTGCCCAAACTGAACTTGGCAAAAGAGCTTTTGTCCATTTAGCACCCTTTGCTTATAACGAGCTGCAGAACGACTGGAAAATGACTGAATTGTCATGGTCCTGGGCCATGTTGGCCCAGTGTTCTTGGTTTTCTCATGTGTTTTTGTATTCAGTTCCCTGTTTAGGTTCTGTTTCCTGAGTTGCCCTGTTATGTTGTTCCCTGTGTGCTTTCCCTTTGTGACTCTCACCCCCTGTGTGCCCCTCTATGTATTCATGAGCCCTTGTCCCCTTTCGTGTTGTAT